AAAAAAAAAAAAAAAAAAAAAAAGAAGAGCTCTGGAAAAGTCTTAGACCTAATCACTTTTTAATTTTATCATTAGTTTTGTCCAAGACGACTATTTAATTTGATGTTTCAAATAATCCTAATAAAGGGGGGGGGGGGTTTCGGTTTCAAAGAATAATCCCTTTTAAAAGAGTGTTAAAAATCTTCAATAGTCTCTTAATGTTTCAAAAAGCCAAACTCCCTTTCAAAAAAGTTTAACTAAGCCTAAATAAAGCTAACACAATAATACACTTAAACCACTGGCTTTTCATTAAAAATTAACTCCATTCATCTGGATCATTTCACATCATCTTTTATAAGCAAGCCTTCCAAAATAGTCACCTACACTAGCATTACAGAAGACACTCAGATTTTACACTAACATACAAACTGTTGCCACCACACGCTAGTCCAGGATTTCCCATTATAGTCCACTTGTTAAAAATATTTTCAGTAACCAGGAAAATTCAGATGACATTTTAGAAGCCCACAGACATAAGAAAGAGAACACTTAAAAGCTGAAACTATCATCGGCAGTTTAGATTCTTAATAGCCTTCTACCCCAATGACCTGCGAATGTCCTCATCTCTCCAGCTAATTTAAACACTGCGTTAACTGTCTTTTTCTTGGCAGCTACGGTGCTCTTAGTACTGCTGACAGCCTCTGTACCGGACTAATCTCGACACACTATCATTATATTGTACAGTGTTGGCTCAGCCCATGAGGAGGAGCGTATTTGCCATGGTCAGGTGGTGAAATGAATGACGTAAATAAAATCTCCAAACGAATTAGAGTCATCTTAGCCACAGGCTCTAGTGTTGACATAAGACTCAAGGAAGCTAGTCTTTGCCCGTCAAAGTTTCCTCCACACTTTCACTGGAAAAGTCAAAATATCACTACCACACTGAGTTGGCAAAAAGTAATCTTTATGATAATCTTATATTCCAGATTTCTTTGAATGGAAAATTAGAGTAATCATTATAAAGTGAAGCAAAGGTAAACAATCCTTTTAAAACAAGCCGACTAGTCGTATTCGTATTTGCCTATCTCCCCTGACACCAACTCTGTTTACCAGGTTAGGAATGAATTCAGTGCTTTAGTTCTGTGTTACCCATCTCACATCCACCGACAAAAAGACAGTAAGAGCAGCACCCAAGTAACCCCTTGTTTCAATACCAACTTTACTACCAGGGTATTCTGTAAAGAGGACTGCCTGGTTGATCTTCGTTTCACCCAGAGAGTGCCACAGGATGCAAACGCATGGCTTCAAAACTTCAGAAAAGGTGGGGAGAAAGTAGTGTGTTTGGAAGTGTGGGGGGAGGGATGGGTAGAGGAGGGAGCAGGGGGTTGGCAGGATTACATATTTTGGTTATGTTAGTTGTAAAATATATAATTCTGCCAATCTACACGGGTATCCGCTGATCTTTGTTAATCTGCCTTTTAAAATACCAGTGAGCATGATCTAGGGAATGATTCATTCCTCTTCAAGTCAAATAAACTGGCTTCAGGATGTAACAGCCAGCCCAGGCCTGCTGGCTACATTGCTTGCTACTGGTTGCTCAGTTAGTGGAAAAAAAGAGCAGCTTGATAAAACATATTGGCAGTGCTCTTGAACATTTCTCTGTAGTTTCTATGTGCATTCTCACTAAGCTTTGAAAAATTCACTCTTCTTGTGGGAAGCAATAAGATTAAAGAAATAATCTCCTCAAAATATTCCAAACTGTAAAACAATAATTGTTTTACTGAATATGCAATTATTCTCTGTAACTGCTCATTTCTCTTTTCAGTAGTAGGAGAATGACGTTAACAGTGCCTTAAACATAACCAAAGTTTTAGAACTAAATGTATGGTGTCTGTACATGTGCTGCAGGGTTGGGGGGAGGTGTGTGTGGGGGGGGGGGGGA